TGAAATAAATATTTATTTTCTTTAGTTTTCTTCTTTTTATAAGATGGTTATAACCGTTGTTACTTGTTCTTCTATATACAGGTTGATTCAATGATCGATGTTCAAACTTTGCTTTTCACTACAGGCCTACTGTGTGACTGACACGGACTCAACCACCCTGCTTCAGGTTAGATCTTCATTGTGTTCTTTTCAGTTGATGAGTTCTGTAGAGGCGATGATTCCATCGTTCGCTCCCACCAGATTAAGTGTTGAATCGTTGTTATATAGACAACTTGTTGCTGATGCTTAGTCTCAACATTCAAGTCTGTCTTACTTCAGGGATCATTTCAGGTAGAACTATCCAGTTTGGGTCATTTTGAGCGGAGTTATGCGCTCCTGTCTATAGCTGAGCTGGCGACACCGCTCACTCGACAACGAAGTTAAGAATGAACTAGGTAGGAGTTTCGTTCCGAGCTTTGATCTGTAGGAAGCAGCTTCTTTTCCAACTCTATAGGCAGTATAGGAATTAGAATTCATTATGAAATTACGTCTGAGGTTAGCATAACAACAGAGCAATTAGGTTGATTGAGAATTCGTTTCAGCTTGTTTGATAACGGATGTTCGGTTTTGTCCTTCCGGTTTCTCATCATCCAATTCGAATCTGTACATCAAGACGGTCGTTGATGTGCTCCCTTTTTGCAATCTCTTTTTTCTCGCTGCTTCCTTCTGAAGCTCTTGAAGTGAGTAGCACCTGTCGCTCAATCGAATCTGCTGCAGACGAATGCTTTTCCTTCGATGGCTTGTTTTGAGTGATCACATTTCATTCTGAATTCGATTGTTCGAAGCATTTACTGATCAAGTAATAGTAACCAGGACAACTGATAAACCAAATGCAGTGGAAGCAATCGGTGGTTCTGTAGGAAAATAGGCATATGAAAGCTCAGAAGGAACACAAAGATATTCAGATGAATTGGTTGGTCGTTGAGATTTCAGCTTCTTCAAATACGAATTGAACTTGATCATTGTCATGTCTAGTGGTGACTCTTATCTCTTCAATCATCAGTTGCCCGATAATGNCCAATTTACAAAAATTTCAAAATTTTGAGAAAAAACTCGGTTTTTCACCTTAATTTCAAGCTTTTCCTTCTTTTAATTTCGTTATTTTTAATAAAATTAGTTGTGAAATATTCTCCGACATATTCCTGCGGCGTTGGTGCGGTGAAATAAATATTTATTTTCTTTAGTTTTCTTCTTTTTATAAGAT